ATATTTTTTAACTTATAACTCAGATGGATTCCATTGTAAAAGCTAGTTATATGGTAACATATTTAATATGTTAATATGCAAAAAAATCAAAACTATTTACTGATGGTAAGTTTATTCATATAAGGAAATATATGGATATAATTAGGGGAATATTTCTAAAGTCAGTTTGTCTCACCAGACAATAGCCAGATGAATTGAAGAAATTAGAAAATCAATCAAAAGAAGTGTGGAGAGTAAAGCTGCTAATTTCAAATTTTATACTTTGGCAATGGATGATAGCACTGATGTTATAAATATGGCTGAACATGCCATTTTTACTAGAGGTATTGATGATGAATATAATGTCACTTGAGAAATACCCTCTTTAGTGCCATTACAAGACACAAATTGAGAGATTTATAGGAAGAAGTAAAAAATACATTAAAGCAATTTTCTTTGTCCATTGTCAACATATCTGGTATAGTTACTGATGGTGCCTTGGCAATGGTAGGTAAAAGAGAGGAATTTATAAAATTCATAGAAGATGATGTAATTGCCACCCATAACCCATGTTTGATAAAGTACCAAATTTGTGCCAGAACTTGATAATGAAAACTGGCTTACAGATTTAGCATTTTTAGTGGATTTAAATGAGTTAAGCATGTGTCTGCCAGGTGAAAACCAACTTATCAATATGTTTCAAATCATAACAGAGTACCAAATGAAGCTGAAATTACAGCAAGCTCAAATTAAGGAAAACAATTTTATGTATTTTGAACATTAAACACAGTCCTGTGAGCAGAGTTCCATCACCTCTTGACAGACAGATGTGCCAGGACCCACATATTTGAACATACTATTTGATGTAAAATATTCACAAATGTAATGGTACACTGCCTGGCTTTATTTATACAACACTTTGATTTTTCCCCCAGTTTTCTTCAGCCTCCTCCACCATTTATATTTTTTGTCGTCAACTACTAGACTCATCCTTCATTAATGTTTCTACCTATATCTCTCTAAGGTTGGTTCATAATTCAATTCTCTTGCACTGTGCCTTTGACTCCACTTCCTATTATTTTTTGTCCCTGATGGTTTATCAATTCTACCAATAGTTTTAGAGGTTAACACATCTCACAGGACCAAATTCGAAGGGATTCCTCTCTTACTGTGGTGTCCTAGAAGCCACCCTACTATTGTGCCACAACTTGACAATCAAGACCAGGAAAATAATCTGACTTAGATATCTTATTTCCCCATTTCCTCTTTTTTTTGAGACAAAGTCTCACTTTGTCACCCTCAGTAGAGTGCTGTGGCGTCACAGCTCACAGCAACTTTGCCTCAGCCTCCCAAGTAGCTAGGACTACAGGCACCTGTCACAACACCCATATATTTTTTGGTTATAGTTGTTTGGCAGGCCCTGGCTGGGTTCGAACCCACCAGCTCTGGTGTATGTGGCTGGCACCTTAGCCACTGAGCTACAGGCGCCGAGCCCCTACTTCCTTTTATATTGAGACTTAGTGCCTCCATTTGAAATTACATAGAGGAGCCAAATGAAGCATAAAAACACATATAGACAGACAGAGAGATAGATGGATGTTTCTTTTCTTTTCTCTTTTTTTTTTTTTTTTTGAGACAGAGTCTTACTTTGTCACACCAGTAGAGTGCTCTGATGTCACACTTCACAGCAATCTCTAACTCTTAGGCTCAAGTGATTCTCTTGCTTCAGCCTCCCAAATAGCTGTGACTACAGGTGCCCACCACAATGCTTGGCTATTTTTTTAGAGATGGGATCTTGCTCTGGCTCAGGCTGGTCTCAAAGTTGTAAGTTCAGGAGATCCGCCCACCTCAGCCTCTCAAATAAGTTGGATTACAGGCATGAGCCACTGAGGCTGGCCCTAGACAAATGTTTCAATAAGACTTCAGTGGGAAATAGAAGTCTTCTATTGATAAAATAATCATAAAAGTGAAAACTTGGCTCTTGAGAAATAATTAATGCTGTAGAGAATGGGATTAACAATGCTGCCAGACAAAAAAGTCATAAGCACCTCCTGATTAAAAATAAATTACATCAGGACTCACCTCTTTGGAAGAATGTGCTGACCATGAAGGCAAAGAAAATTGTGGCAATAGCAAAACACATGAGGAAAACAAATATCAAACTAGGGTCACTATTCGTGAACACTGCCACATTTTCCACCTATAAAATAATAATAGATGTACATAATTTTTACATGGAAAGAATAAGGAGAAAGCATAAATTACTGTCAGAAAATGAAGAAAAAAAAATTTTTTTGAGACAGAGTCTTACTTTGTCACCCTTGGTAGAGTGCTATGTCATCACAGCTCACAGCAACCTCCAGCTCTTGGGCTTAAGTGATTCTCTTCCCTCAGCCTCCTAAGTCACTGGGACTAAGGGCACCTGCCACAATGCCCAGCTATTTTTCGTTGCAATTCTCATTGCTGTTTTAGCTGGCTGGGCCTGAGTTCAAACCCACCACCCTCTGTATATGGAGCTGGCGCCCTAACCCACTGAGCCACCAGCACCGGCCAGTGAAGAAAATATTTTTAAAATCTGATATTATCATAAACTAAATGACATATATAGATTTTTAAGGCAGACCTTTGATTTAGCACTCATTACCATTTATAAATTATGCCCTATATATGTAAACATGTAATCATTCTTTTTGAAAGCTTAAGTTTGGATTTAATTTTAGACCAATGTGAATATATTTTTCTTCTTATGAGTGAGTTTATCTCATTTGTCATTATCATTATTATAGATAATTTTTGATATTTCTTTTGATATCTTATATCTTCTCTTTTTAATGTTTTCTGGTTATTTCCTTTATTTTATATATTTTGCTATTTAGTCTGGGTTTTCTTATGTTCTTTTGTCCAAAATGCCTTTATTTTTGTAATTTAGAATGTAAATTCATATATCTAAATAGTGAGTTATAATTTAGTTATCAAACGCAAGTTGACAAATTTTAACACTGAATTCCATTAAGAGTATAAAAGAAAAAACCCAAGATACCATTGATGTTAAAAATGTTCTCATCTTTTATAATAACTGTTTTCAACTATCTGTACAATATAACATTTATAATGCTTTAAAGTTTATAAAATATATTTTTGGTCATTCCCTTTAGTAATGAATTAACCACACCCATGTCAAGTACCTAAAGAGCTGGGAACTGAAAAGAGGACAAGACAAAGCTCTTCCTGATCTTATAGATCTTAAACGCTTAAGTCCTCCAAGTTTCAGCAGCTACATAACATATTGACGTTGGTGGTCATCAATGACTGTGTTTCCATCATGTATTACATCTCAGCACCACCACCCATGCAACACCAAATTTCTTTCCTACCTATTCATACTTTAGACACCCTGAAAGACAAGAGTCATGTACCTTCATGCAGAAGATAATGGTCATGAAAGAAACAGCAATGAAGACACAAATGAAGAATATAATAAACCAAGCAACCCAGTGCAGCCAACTTTCAAGTCCCATCATGCACATGTACTCCTAGAGAAAGTAAGAGAACCAGACATTATACGGTTGAATGCACAGTTCTAGCTGGTTTGCTCCAGCAGCCTGTTACTAAGATCCCAGCAGACTCGGGTGAAGCGGTGTGAGTGTACTGGGAAAAGTTGGCTAGTAGGGAGTGATGGAGACTGAGTGAGTTAGAAAGAAGAGTACAAAACCAGTGAGTGGCACTCAGCTGGCTTAGATATGGTAGAGATGAGTCTTGTATTAAAATCATTCTTCTTTTGCAATAGTTAAATATTCTGTTCTTTCATCCATTTATGGAGTGCCTATTATAAGTGAATGGCTCCTATGGCCCTGAAAATAAGTACAAATTCTTTGACATCCATACTCTAGTCACATAAACCTTTTCATAATTCACTGAATGTGACATGATCTCTATGTCTTTTTAATCACATATATTGTTCCTCTCTTTTTTCCTCTCATCCTCTCTTTACCTAGCAAAATCCTACTTGATTTTCAAAACCTAGCTCAAGAGTTACCTACTTTGTGAAGCCTTCTCTGGTCAGCTTTGCCCATTCTCTTTTTTTATTTTTTTTTTTTTGAGACAGAGCCTCAAGCTGTCACCCTGGGTGGAGTGCTGTGGCATCACAGTTCACAGCAACCTCCAACTCCTAGGCTTAAGCAATTCTCTTGCCTTGGCCTCCCAAGTAGCTGGGACTACAAGTGCCCACCACAATGCCCGGCTATTTTTGGGTTGTAGCTGTCATTGTTGTTTAGCAGGCCCAGGCTGGATTCGAACCCACCAGCTCTGGTGTATATGGCTAACACCTTAGCCTCTTGAGCTACAGGCGCCAAGCCAGCTTTGCCCATTCTCCACACAGCCGGAACATCTACACATTCTATTACCTTTGCACTTGGTATTCTTTTGTAACATTTAATTTTACTGGTATGGATCATCTAAAGAAAAGGTCTGCACCATTTATATCTGTACCTTTCATAGACATGCCTGGTAAATAAATCACTCAATCAATGTTTGATAAGTGGATGAATTCAAAGCACTGTGCTAGGTACCATGAAGGAAAAATTAAAAAAAAAGAAAAGACAAAGCTATTAAAGACATACATATAATAATATTGTATATGCCATACTACAATTATAGAAGCAACTTTTTTACCTTTTAATATTGTAACTAGTAGTTAGTTAACAAAAACACATTGGCTAAAGCAGGAAATCACAAAAATGATAGACACATACCTTACATTTTTATTTATTTATTTTTTTACATTTTAATATTTACTTAGGGCAGGGATGGGGAACCTGTGGCCTTAGGGCAACATGTGGCCTTCTGGGTCCTTAAGTGTGGCCTTTTAGTGAATCTAAATTTTACAGAAAAAAATCCTTTACTTTTTATTAATATGTTTTTGTTCCTTTTTACATTTTTATTTTATTTTTAATTAAAAAAAACAAAGAATAAAATAAGTTTCAATGAAATAATCCTCCCAGATTGACTGGTACAATTACAACATTAGGAAGCAATAAGGGCTAAGTAGACAACAGCTGCACTCACAGTTTAGTTCTGACTTCTCCCACCTGATGGGAGCCACTACCACACAAGGCTGCTTGGCAAGAGTTTATGGGGGTCAAGTACACCAGTCTATTACCAGCTTTTGACAACAGTGTAGTGCAGTTATTTTTGCAGTGGAATCTGGTTTTTTGTTTGTTTTTTTTTAGAGACAGAGTCTCACTTTATCGCCCTTGGTAGAGTGCTGTGCTGTCACAGCTCACAACAACCTCCAAGTCCTGGACTTAGGCAATTCTCCTGCCTCAGCCTCCCAGTAGCTAGGACTACAGGCACCTGCCACAACGCATGGCTATTTTTTGTTGCGGCCGGGTTTGAACCCCCCAGCCTCAGTATATGGGACCAGTGCCCTACCCACTGAGCCACAGGCACTGCCCTACAGTGGAATTGCTGCACGGCTCGACAGTATTTTTTACATCTGTGTGCTTAACAGCCCATCATGTCAAAGAGATCAAGAGAATGTTGAAAAAAAAATTTTTTAATGAGAACTGGGAATTGCAATATTATCTTGTTTCTGCTAAAGATAAGATTTGCTGGCTCGGCGCCTGTGGCTCAAGCGGCTAAGGCACCAGCCACATACACCTAAGGTGGCGGGTTCGAATCCCCAGCCCAGGCCCGCCAAACAACAATGATGGCTGCAACCAAAAAATGACCAGGAGTTGTGGTGGGCGCCTGTGGTCCCAGCTACTTGGGAGGCTGAGGCAGGAGACTCGCTTGAGCCCATGAGTTGGAGGTTGCTGTGAGCGTGATGCCATGGCACTCTACCCAGGGGGATAGCTGGAGGCTCCGTCTCAAAAAAAAAAAAAAAAAAGATAAGATTTACTTGCTTTGTGATACTGTAATGCCAACATTAAAGAAAGTCAGTGTTCATCAGCACTGTAAGACTCATCAGGACCACAAATATTTTAAATTAGAGGGAGGGGGCCAAAGGTTGTATTGAAGAGACTGAAAAAATGACAAGCAAAAGCAAAGATACTTTTTTCAAGCAGCAGTAAGACCTGGAAATAATGCCACTGAAGCTAAAACTTTAAAAGCAGTTTATACTCAGGAGAAAGGGTAAGCCATTCAGTGATATAAAAATTATGAAAGAATGCGTTGTCAAACTTGTAGGATGTTTGTACTCCAATAATGTTTCAAAGTACAAAGAATTGCCTCTTCAAAGGAGAACCCTAACTGATCAGCAGCATGAAATTAGCCTTCAACTTAACAGAACAACTTTGTACAATATTTCAAAAGGAAAATATATATTATTCAGTTGTTTTGGATTAATAAATTGATACTAGTGACTCAATGAAATTTCTATACTTCACTTGTGTTGTAACAGAAAATTTTCTTTACTACGAAGAGTAACTCAGTTTGGATGCTCTTATGACAAGAAAATGGAAAATAGATATCTTCAATAGATAAATGTCATGAAGTTGAATCTAATTTGGTAAATTTAGTGAGTCTAAGTATGAATGGTGCACCGTCATGACAGGAAAACATGAAGGTTTATTGCACAGATAAAAAGAGTATTAACAGATCCAGGTGCTCTCATTTCTTTTCATTGTATCTTGCATCAGCAAAATCTCTGTGCGAAAGCTACCATTTTTTTTAAATTTCAGATTAATATGAGGGTACAATTATGTTGCAGTGTTTGCATTTGTTAGGAGTCCCTCTTGCAGTTGTGCCACACACTTGAGAGGTGTGCTGTATATCCTTACATTGTGCCCATCAAGTGGGATCACACCAATCCCCCTCCCTCCTGCCCTCTCCTGCTTCCTCCTTTTCCCTCACCCCTAATTTAAATTGAATTTTCTCTTGTGTGGACTGGCTTCATATTAGTATTAAGTACACTGGATACTTGATTTTCCATTCTTGTGATACTTTATGGAGAAGAATGTATTTCAACTCTATCCAGGTTAATACAAAAGATGTAAAGTCTCCATCTTTTTATGGCTGAATAGTATTCCCTGGTATACACATAACACAGTTTAACCCATTCCTGGGTTTTTGGTGTTTTTTTTTTTTTTTTTTTTTT